TTTTTAATATTTAACTATGCATTTTAATATAATATTGAGTTAATTAAATATACATGTGATATACATAATAATACATTAAAATATATTCTATTTTATTATTTTTACTTCTATTAAACTTTTGTATTAAACTATACATTTCTGATATATGAACTTAGTTAAATGTAGATATGACATACTTAATAATAAACAGATATTATATTATATATCCTTTTTTATTATTTTTACATAAATTAAATTATTATAATATTATAATATACGTTTTGACATGTGGCGTTAATTAAACATATTTATTTATTTATTTCTTAATTAATTGACGCCAGTCGGCATTTATATAGATGGTAATATATACAGTTAATAAAAAATGATCTTATAAATGTAAAAATCATTGATAACATAAATAATAATTAAATTTAATGTACTAATAACTTAATAATAACCATAAAGATAAATTGCTAGGAAGTGAACAGCATCCTAATTAAAAGAATGGCAATAAAACTAAGATACGAAGAAATATTATTTTTAGTTTAAAATGGAATTTTGTTTCAGGTGGTGTTAAGGAGGTGGAGCATTCTATGTACAGGATGGTTGTGGTTGTAGTTTGTACGATGAGAGGATATGTAATATAAGGAGTGAATAAAGTCGATGTCTGCATAAAAACGACGAGAGGAAAGAGTAGAGACATTTAAAGATGACATAATAGTACTGTAGTCGTGAAGAGGTTGAGAAATATTTAGAACATGAGCTGCATAGGCAAGAAATCGGTTTTGAACCCGCTCAATACATAACTGGTCTCTACTAGAGCTCTACCATAAGTTGTATTGATATGATTTTCAAAAGAAAGGGTAAGGTAGAAAACAAGATTTTTAACCTCGAAAACACGTTTGAGTGGAAAGCCATTTAATGAGTAAGGGTGGATAAGAAGAACACGCTTCCAACATATATATGGTATACATACATTTATGATGATATACTGTCTGACCACTGTTGACAGTTTCATTTTCACTTCATTTTTTCATTATTAGGTAGTTGTTATTTGTTACATACTAACGTGACAGATATTTACGTTCTCGTGACTATTATTAATAAAAGGAAAAATACAAAACTAAACGATCTGCACAAATCCACAAACACGTTTAGAAATATCAGCATTATATTAGCTAACTGCTAAGTCATTTACAGTGTGAATACCTATAATTAAGAGAAACTAAGTTGGACATTATTCAGTATGGAACCATTTAGAAAGTATAAAAATAATTCTGAAGGAAATTCCAAGTATAACAGTAATATGCACAGTACAATGCTCAATACTATACATTGTCCTAGATTACTAAATATTCCACTTATTAGTTGTGATGATGTGGTATTCAATAGTGTTGTGAAACCAGAATTTGTACATGATACAGATCGTAATAATCATTATCAATATTTACAAATAGGAGCTAAACGCGAAAAAATGAATGCCATTCGTCGGAATTAATTGTTCATATGAATACAGATGAGACAGCGCATTTGAGGCAAACATTTTCAAATTCTGTTACATTATTTAACTCAAAAGCACTCATCACAAGACATTCAAAGATTCAGACCGGAAAAATAAAAAAAGTGTTAATTTGTGACAATTGTGAAGAGATACATTATACTAAATCTGATTCTATTACACACATACTGTGTTGTACACGAAGAAAATATGTAATAAATCTAGTACATGTAATTTTGAAATGTATAATTAATTAATGAATTAGAATAATATATATATGAATAAAAAAAAAAAAAGAGGAACATGAAGGGATAACACTCATATTATAGTAGACCAGTAAAAGGTCAACTATTAAAGGTTGGTAATGACAAGACTGTTAACACGTTGGTGGGTAGTACTACCTAGCAGTAATTTCAAAAATTGATGTCGGGGGACACTTAAATATTACTGCTATAGCAGTATCATAAAAACCTTCCAAAAATTGTTATCACTGAAATAGCAGTGATATTTTCAATGGTGTCTTATGAGGGGATAGATTATTGTGTCCCCCGACATCTCAGTGGAGAATTTTACACTGCCCTATAGCATAAAACCCTACAGCAGTACTAAAATTGACGTTTTAAAGATCTTTTGTTTTTCCACTGCGGCCACAAAACTGTCCATCAACGTGTTAAGAAAGTAAAAACAATGTCAAAAAATAATAATGTCCTAAACGTTTTTTCTGTGGAAATCGGGTAACCCTCCACTTTCGATATTCAAGATCAAGAAAGAGGAGAGGATGGTCACCATCGCCGAATGGAAAAGGAAATAGACAGAATCCACCAAGGCGTCATCTAATTCTGAACATCGCAAGATAGAAGAATAGGACGCCCTTAAGATCCATTGATAATACCACCTGACGCAAGTGGTAACCGGACACGGGTGCTTTCAGTGTTAGCTGTGCCGCATGGAATGCGCCCTTAGATACTGCTGCATGCACTGCCAGAGTGGCTCAGACAAAGCGGACCACATCATCTTAAACTGCTCTAACTGGGACGGCCTACGAGACGAACTACGAGGACACATGACGATACAGATCGTAATAATCATAATCAATATTTACAAATGGGAGCTAAACGCGAAAAAATGAATGCCATTCTTTGGAATTAATTGTTCATATGGATACAGATGAGACAGCGCATTTGAGGCAAACATTTTCAAATTCTGTTACATTATTTAACTCAAAAGCACTCATCACAAGACATTCAAAGATTCAGACCGGAAAAATAAAAAAAGTGTTAATTTGTGACAATTGTGAAGAGATACATTATACTAAATCTGATTCTATTACACACATACTGTGTTGTACACGAAGAAAATATGTAATAAATCTAGTACATGTAATTTTGAAATGTATAATTAATTAATGAATTAGAATAATATATATATATGAATAAAAAAAAAAAAAGAGGAACATGAAGTGATAACACTCATGTTATAGTAGACCAGTAAAGGTCAACTATTAAAGGTTGGTAATGACAAGACTGTTAACACGTTGGTGGGTAGTACTACCTAGCAGTAATTTCAAAAATTGATGTCGGGGGACACTTAAATATTACTGCTATAGCAGTATCATAAAAACCTTCCAAAAATTGTTATCACTGAAATAGCAGTGATATTTTCAATGGTGTTTTATGAGGGGATAGATTATTGTGTCCCCCGACATCTCAGTGGAGAATTTTACACTGCCCTATAGCATAAAACCCTACAGCAGTACTAAAATGGACGTTTTAAAGATCTTTTGTTTTTCCACTGCGGCCACAAAACTGTCCATCAACGTGTTAAGAAAGTAAAAACAATGTCAAAAAATAATAATGTCCTAAACGTTTTTTCCGTGGAAATCGGGTAACCCTCCACTTTCGATATGCAAGATCAAGAAAGTGGAGAGGATGGTCACCATCGCCGAATGGAAAAGGAAATAGACAGAATCCACCAAGGCGTCATCTAATTCTGAACATCGCAAGATAGAAGAATAGGACGCCCTTAAGATCCATTGATAATACCACCTGACGCAAGACATCATAATCAATATTTACAAATGGGAGCTAAACGCGAAAAAATGAATGCCATTCGTCGGAATTAATTGTTCATATGGATACAGAGGAGACAGCGCATTTGAGGCAAACATTTTCAAATTCTGTTACATTATTTAACTCAAAAGCACTCATCACAAGACATTCAAAGATTCAGACCGGAAAAATAAAAAAAGTGTTAATTTGTGACAATTGTGAAGAGATACATTATACTTAATCTGATTCTATTACACACATACTGTGTTGTACACGAAGAAAATATGTAATAAATCTAGTACATGTAATTTTGAAATGTATAATTAATTAATGAATTAGAATAATATATATATATGAATAAAAAAAAAAAAAGAGGAACATGAAGTGATAACACTCATGTTTATAATGTTATGTTCCACTCATGTGGAAATCGGGTAACCCTCCACTTTCGATATGCAAGATCAAGAAAGAGGAGAGGATGGTCACCATCGCCGAATGGAAAAGGAAATAGACAGAATCCACCAAGGCGTCATCTACTTCTGAACATCGCAAGATAGAAGAATAGGACGCCCCTAAGATCCATTGATAATACCACCTGACGCAAGTGGTAACCGGACACTGGTGCTTTCAGTGTTAGCTGTGCCGCATGGAATGCGCCCTTAGATACTGCTGCATGCTCTGCCAGAGTGGCTCAGACAAAGCGGACCACATCATCTTAAACTGCTCTAACTGGGACGGCCTACGAGACGAACTACGAGGTCACTTGGGCCGAAATCCCAAGACCACTGACGGTGAGTGCATATTGTGCGGCCACCTCTTCGAGGACCTCGCAACGGACCAGACAGAGAAGTCGAGAGTCTTTTCGTCTTATTTTCTTTTATCGTGAATGAAGTGTGGTTAACTCCAGTTACGAGGACATGCCACATTTTAAATACTGTGAAATACAGAAAAATTGAAGCATTTTGAACAGATCAACTTGGATTATGACATTAAATAGCCAATAATGGCAAAAAAAAAATGTAGTGTAGTTGGATGCAAACTCCTGTATGGTAAGAACATAGTAAAAGTTCACAGCTTATTACATAATGAACTTATATCACCTATAAATATTCAAGGTCAATGGAAAAAGAATATATTTGATCTTTTGTAAACAGCTAAGTCATTTACAGTGTGAATACCTATAATTAAGAGAAACTAAGTTGGACATTATTCAGTATGGAACCATTTAGAAAGTATAAAAATAATTCTGAAAGAAATTCCAATTATAACAGTAATATGCACAGTACAATGCTCAATATTATACATTGTCCTAGATTACTAAATATTCAACTTATTAGTTGTGACGATGTGGTATTCAATAGTGTTGTGAAACCAGAATTTGTACATGATACAGATCGTAATAATCATTATCAATATTTACAAATGGGAGCTAAACGCGAAAAAATGAATGCCATTCGTCGGAATTAATTGTTCATATGGATACAGATGAGACAGCGCATTTGAGGCAAACATTTTCAAATTCTGTTACATTATTTAACTCAAAAGCACTCATCACAAGACATTCAAAGATTCAGACCGGAAAAATAAAAAAAGTAAGAGGGAAGAGTGTGCCAGCGTACCTGTTGCATATTCTGAGGAGTTACCTGAGTAATAGGTCACTCTTGTACGGCGACGCGGAGCGGCGGGAGGTAACCAGTGGAGTTCCTCAAGGGTCGGTGCTCGGCCCACTATTGTGGAATATAATGTATGACGAGCTATTGCGATTGGAAACGCCGGGAAATATAAAAGGCATATCAAGTTCAACGCTCATTGCATTCGCCGATGATGTTGCAGTTGTAGCGACTGGACATACAACTACTCTGCTAGAAGAGGCCATGAACCAAACGCTGGACTTGGTGTCAAAATGGATGAAGGATACGGGCCTTACGCTCTCCGTCGGCAAAACGGAAGCAATCATGTTAACTACCAAACGCGGATACACTCCCCCGAGGTTCATCTTGGAGGGCGCACTGCTACAACTGCAGGAGCACGTCCGCTACCTCGGAGTGGAGCTATGTAAAAAACTCGGCTTCGGCAAACATTTGCAGTGTGCTGCTGAGAAGGCCACAAAAACGGTGAGCTCGCTGTCAAGATTAATGCCTAACGTCGGCGGCCCGAGGCAGAAGAAACGTCAACTTTTGATGTCTGTCGCTCAGAGTCAACTGCTCTATGCAGCGCCTATATGGGCCTCAGCGTTAGTATTCGAAGTGAACATCAAGAAGTTACTGAAACCTCAACGGAAGATGGCCATTAGGGTGTCGTCCGCCTATTGTACCGTATCGACCAACGCTATACTGGTCGTTTCAGGACTGCTGCCCTTCACATAATGGTGCCTGAAAGAACAGCTATGCGGGCACAACAGAAGGCGGGCTCGGCACCTCCGTCGAAGAAAGAGTTGAGACAGGAGTCACTAAACAAGTGGCAGAATGAGTGGGAGAAATCAGGGACGGGCGAATGGACGAAGAGGTTAATTCCTGATCTGCGGCCATGGGTCTCAAGATCGTTTGGTCTAGTGAACTTTCATATCACTCAGTTTCTCACTGGGCACGGATGTTTTGGGAAGTATCTATGGAGGTTTAAGAAGCTGGACTCCCCCGTGTGCCATGATTGCCAGGCGCCGATGGACGACCCTGAACATGCGTTTTTCATATGCGACCGCTGGTGGAGGCGACGAAGAGCGCTAGAGGTTGCTACGGATATCGAGTTCACCCCTGAAACGGTAGTGAACACAATGTTGGAGAGCAGAGCCAATTGGGATGCAGTATGCGGGTTTGTGGTTGAAGTCCTTAAAACAAGGGAGGAAGAAGAACGGCAGCGGCAGCGACACATCCAACAAATCTGAATTTTTTATTATCTTACAATTAAGTATCGATTTGTTGTAGCCTGAAAGGCAATTTTGAGGGGATAGAGCCCCTCTGATATGTACATAGTTAAATAATGTGAGGATCAGTGCGTGGGAGATTAGCCTGCCACGGTCCAATTAAATTTGATGTAGCTTGTTTTTTTTTAATAAACGGCTTTCGGCCACTTGGGGGTAGGATTACCGAAAGGGAAAGTTCCCCCCAAGTAGCCACGGAGAGCACATAACAAAAAAAAAAAAAAAAAAAAAAAAAGGCCCAGAGATGGTCCTGTCAAACCCATATTATTTATATATTACAAACATAACACTATGCAAAATATGCATGAAAAGAGTTTTCACAAACACAGCTGGATCCATCAAATTATCTAGGAATCAGAGCAATTGCTGATTTCTGCTTGAAAATAAAACAAGTATCAACACAACATGTCAAATGAAAATTCAAATAATGACACAAATAACGTAAGTATTGCACAATAAATTATTAAACAATGTAGGTTTAGAAGGAATAGTAAAATAGTTTACCAACTAAATGTACCTATATGAAAAAACTAACAGGGACCCATGTAGGTATAAGCGTTGAATTATTTTAAAATAATAATGCTGGCTGATGACATTCCCATCACTTGTTAAGCAAGTTATGGACGGAGTAATTATAGTGGGCAACATCAGTGAAAATTTAATTTCTGGTTTCAATGCCACTGGCATACACCCGTGCAATCGTCAAGTAATACTTGAGTGAAAATTGTAATTGGACATAAAAATGTTTTGTCAGTAGCTAGCATGTATTTCCATGGAATGTTCAGTAATTTTGATGAGAACAATAAAAATATTGTCAAAATAAAATAGAATTAAATGAAACAGTTTACAACAATTACTAGATTATATTTATACTGGAGAAATCATGATAACAAAAGAAAATGTACAGGTATAAATAAATGTTTGATTTTTATAAGCTAATAAATTGTCTGTAATATTATTGTAACATATTGTTAATTTTTCCAGTTCTCTATTACCAGATTCAAGTATCTTAGAGGTAGACTATGCAAAATATGCATGAGAAGAGTTTTCACAAACACAGCTGGATCCATCAAATTATCTAGGAATCAGAGCAATAATTGCTGATTTTTGCTTGAAAATAAATCAACTTTGCCCTTTTGGATAGTTATTACAGGGAAAGAACGAGGCTGGACACCTACCATGTCAAAATGATCATGAAAAAAACAATTTTTAACGACACATTTTGTACACATTATAATAATACCAATAATGATTTTATATATTATTCTGTGTATCTTGTTCACGTTTATCACCCTCTAGCGGGATATACTTTATAACCCAGACCTTGAAAAAAGAATCTGGTGGCGGCAAGTGAATTAAAGGGTCTTTGCAAGAACACTGAACTCCTCCCAAAATCTAAAAACGTTATTTGGTCGAATAGTGGGTTCATGGATATTTTCAAACTGCGTAGGTTTTAAGTGTATATAAAAAGGTTGAGAACCGCTAGACTATGTCGTACGTGTGTAAGACAACACATGAGGGTGCGACTTCCTCTTAACTAACAACGAATGTAGTAACTACCATAAAAATATAATATAATATAATATAATATAATCGGTTATCTACCAACAGACCAAACTAAATACATACACTACTAATCATTACTGTTAAAAAATAAAACTCATGAGTTTTATACATTTATCTTGCAGTTAGCTGCTTTTATAACCAGAGACATATTACACTAAATTGCATAATGTTATTTGTTGTAGTTACTTACTTGGAGTTCAGGAGTTATCAACCACGGGTTTCACGTACCTGCCACTGAAGTATAAATAAGCAGTAACCAGTCATGAACGGCAATTTATCTGGATGCACTGCGCATGCAAAACAGTAACTTTTCTTTCCATGGACGTGGTCAGTGTCCATCCGAGCTGATTTCATGACGGGACTATACTGCAATCGACGGTACAGAAGGAATGAATTCTTGACTTCGAAAAAAAAAATCTATCGAAAACAGACGAGTTCTGGAACATTCAATGGATAAAATTAAAAAGCAAACACAACATACGTATTTTTACGATACGCAAAATCAACATTGCCGTCGATACCCGATTAGACAAATAAAATATTATATTATAACGAGTAGGTAGTTTTATTACTCGTAAATAATTTATATAAATATAATTATGCGGTCCGCACGGATAACGATCACTGTCGTTTCGGAGGCTGCGAGGAGATGGTCGGCTTGAACGCAGTACTAGCGTGATAGTAGTCACTCTTAGAAATGGTGGGCAAAATATAAACACAATCGGAGCGGGAATGGTAGATGATAATTTAATGTAAAAAATGTAATCATGTCTGAAAATACATTTTAATTTGAGTATTTTTTTTTTTTATTTTTTTGTAAAAACAATTCTCACTTGTTAATGCTAGGGAGACCTAACACCCTTATTACCCTATGTATGACTTGCTTCATTGGAAAACGACGCAGACCCAATTTCTTTTGAAGCACTTTATTTTAACTATTGATTAATACCTATTTTCCCCTTCATAGGTTTTTATTCCCCACTTTTGTTAAATTTCAATTTATCTCGATACCTTTTAAATTTGAGTGATGGGTTTAGCACAATTCATTTCTAACAACAAGGTAATTACTACACATTTTAATATTCACTCTTGATGCAAACTTAATTAATGTAGGTAGATATTATTTTATTTACAAGTCGTCAAATATGTCTTGTAAATTATTGTATTGATCGTACATTGTGTGTTTCAAAATATTATTTTGTTCTTTATTTTAATGGAAATATTAGAACTATTTTTATGTACTTAATACTTATAGATATCTACATACTTTATATTAATATACATTTCTATTATTCATTATTTAATAATATACAGTGACTTTTTAATGTGGTTTCTACTAAACATTTTATCTAGTTGGTATGGCGTGTGGATAAATATTAGAACATTAATAAAATCAAAATTATAGGGAAACTAATAAAACAAAAATCGGGAATATTTACTGATTTTATCAAAAAGAAAAAGTAAAACACAGTATTATAAGTAAGTTCTAATATACTTATATATAGAAAACCGAATTAATAAAAATTGTACGGCCGTAATTTTTAATCCTAATGCATTTCGATCACTATCTGTATTTAATAGTTTATATCATTTTATAGAACGGTACACCCGCATTAGAGTGAATTGACAGTTAATGAAATTTGAAGGTAAGATTATTATCGAGTGGACATCGTAGGTTTTTCATTAGATTTTAATTTAGAAGCAAGTTATGAGTATTTTAAAACCCAAAACAATTTACGATTTTAAAATACTCATAACTTAATTTAAAATCAAAATATAAAAATAAAACTAAGAACTTCACTAGATAATATTTGTACTTCTAATTTTGATAAGAGGTCAATTCACTTTAATTTGTAAACGAACAGAGCTATACGTAATATGCTGACCGTACAATTTGCTATGTTATGCGTTTGTAAAACTGAGAGAACGCATGTGGGTGTACCGTTCTGCAAAATCATATAAACTATTAATGTTACCCACTCCTACCGTCACTGACCGGCTCAAAATATACTTAAATATTAACATTTACAAATAATCTTTATATTTAACAGAATAAAAAATAAGTTAGGCATTCATTATATTTAGTATTAATATAAATTAATATCAAATGATAACATTTTTAATGTTACAATATATTTTTTAAAATACTATTTGTTATGACATAGGTACTAGATTTTTTAGCTGGAATACACAGAGAGAGTGAATTGTGGGTCGCAATAACAAAAAGGTTAGAAAACACTTTTCTATACTAAAAAACATGAACAAATATAATGTCTATATATTTTATTAGTATTAATGTAGTAATATATGTAATTTAAAAAATAATTAAATATAATATATATGTTTCTAAAATGGACATGGTAAATTAATTATATCTATTATACCAAATCCTTCATTAGAACAGCAACCTAGTTTTTTTATTATATATTTGTGCTTTAATATTTACGGAGTATCTGTGCTATCTAATAGGTCATGAAAAAAAAACTGTTCAGTATATTATTATTATAACCAGTGGATTAAAGACGTTTAGAAGTGATTGATAATCGACATTTTTTCATCTAGCATATTCCCTTTTTTATTTTAAGATACGCACGGGGTTATAACCAGGGCTTGAAACCGTAAACATTTTTCCGATTTCAATTTCGGATATTGATATTTATTTTTTCCGATTTTGATTTCGGTTTCGGTATCGATTTCGGGTTTTAACGGATATTCAAAATCGGTATAAAAGATCGGTTTTAAGCCCTGGTTATAACATATGTTATTACTGCATATAGATGGGTACCGTAGCAGTAAATTAATGTTGGAACAATATTATATATTATAAGCCGTAATGCATTAAATGATTATATTATGATAATTTTTTAGTTTTAGGTGTAGTGGTAAGTACACGAAAACGTTCAAACTGTGTATGTGGTAGCGCCGTACGCGTATAGAAAAAGATTTAGAACCACTGGTCTATGTAGTACGTGTGTAATAAGACACATGCGGGTGTCACGTACTCATAACTAGCAGCGACTACTAATCGGTTATCTACCAACTGACTAAACTAAGTACGCATCCACTACTAATCATTATTGTTAAAAACTCGGGAGTTATATACATTTATCTCGTGGTGGTTAGCTGCACTGATAACGCCAGTCAGATATCTTAAACTAAATTGCATAATGTATTTTGTTATAGATACTTACTTGGAGTTCAAAATAATCAACCAAGGGTTCCACGTACTTGCAGCTGAAGTAAAACAGCTGAAGTATTTGTCCTCGACGTGGTCAGTACTCATTGGGGCGGATTTCATGACGTGACAATACTGCAATCGACGGTACCGAAGCGACGATTTCTCGACGTCGAAAATTAAATTTAAATAAAATTTAAAAAGCGCACTCAAAACACGTATT